TTCAGCAGGTTAAGAGTAGGTGAATGAGGGAACTATGGAGGCACAGACTGATGGCCAGAGCAGGGGAATAATGCATATTACTCAGGGAGCCGGGCTGGCAGGCGAGAGATTAAAGCAGACTTTTTTGCACTACAACAACCTCTTTAAAAAAAACTTGCCCGGACTCTTCTGACTCTTTTTTTCCTATTGGAAACAAACTGGTGAATGTACCAAGAAGCCTGAGGAAAAAGGCAAACATTTTAAATGAAGTTTGATTTCAAAATTGGATCCCTCCCAACTGGTAAGAATTGTTGATATTAACGTGAAAGTTTCACAATCTTTCAGCTGGCTCCAAATCATAAACAGAATTCAGTCCACTGAACAACTCCAGTCACATTTAAAACTTGTTATGAGTCTCCTGCAACTCAGGAGAATGGATATGCTAAGCAGAGAGTGGTTATTCTGATTTGTAATTTATATATGAATGAAGATACTTACTTCTATGGGAACAGGATCGAGCCCAGCACAGTTTTCATTGCATTTGTCGTAGACTAGTCTCAGTTTTCTGAACAGTATTGATAGTTGACGGAGATGTTCCTGCAGCTTTCCCAGTCTGTCTTGATATGTTCCAGTATGATAAGTAACACCATTCGGTAACTTGAGAGAATCAAAACCCCAAAACGTTAAAAATATTATGTTAAAGTTTCTGTCACATGAAAAAAATAAACTAAAATAAATCAGAGGGGTTTTCGTACATTTTAAAATAAGACAATCACACTACCCCCACAGAAAGCACTGAAATTTCTATTTTCTTTATCAGCAAAATTCTGCATTTTATCTGCTCATCTGATGTGCCAAATCACTGCTGTCAAACAGCTTCATGTACTCTACACTTTGGTCACTGTCAATCCCTCTGTAACTCTTTTCAGTAAACATCTTCAAAATGCTTAAGCATGACACTGTTGCTACCTGTTATGAGTATTACACTTTGAGACTTTGTGTCTCAACCCCAAGTCACAATTCAGAGACACAATCAAAGTGAATTCAAAGTTAGCAAACTCTAAGTACCTATACCTAAGACAAATACAGAAGAAAACTGCCAGAGTAATGAAAACACAGAGGGAACGGGAGTGAATTGGGTGAGGAATTGGCTGACAGGCTGCACCCAAAGGGTGGTGGTAAATGGCTCTTTTTCAAACTGGCAACCCGTCACAAGTGGGGGTCCCCCAGGGATCGATATTGGGCCCAAAGCTATTCAATACCTTCATAAGCCATCTGGATAACGGGATCGAGTGTACGCTAATGAAGTTTGCAGATGACACCAAATAGAGCAGGGAAGTAGACACTCTGGAACGGAGAGCCACCCTGCAGGAAGAGCTGGATAGGCTGGAAGAGTTGGATAGGCTGGAAGAGTGGGCTAACAAGAACCTTAGGAAGTTTAACAAGGACAAGTGTAAGGTCTTGCACCTGGGAAAACATAATCCAGGAGTGCAGCTCAGACTGGGATCCACCTGGCTAGAGAGCAGCTCCATGGAAAGGGACCTGGGGGTCCTGGTGGGCAGGAAGCTCAACATGAGTGAACAGTGTGCTGCTGC